TCTAGAACGCTAATGAGACTTTATCCCTTCAACAGGTAAAAAAAGTGAAGCGGAAACACAAAAAGGCAAATGTGCTGTTTATAGAAGGGAATACAAATGACAAGACAAAAGGGTAAATATGGATTTTGGTTCGGTTCTGAATCTTGGGTGTCTATTGGGCAGCCTTCTATACTTTCCTCCTAGTACAGAGTGATTGCAACATGAGTTAAAACTAATGTTGGTCTCAAAGCAGGGAACCAGTTAAGGCTAGCATTTGCAGGTATGAGCCGCTTGCTTTATCGTGCTGCGGATGGAAACAGGCTGGCATTCATGCTAACAATTAACTGGCCTCGTTTGTGTGAGGAATAACAAAAGGGCTGGATACTTGTTTGAATGTGTGGTGGCCAGACTTTCTAAAAAGATAGTATTTCAGAAAATATAGACTTGCCCTTGCTTTTGTCTTAAAACCAAGTGCTTCTCATGCTATAAAAATTCCTGAGTTTTAGCTGGTCATGAAAGCTAAAACTACTAGAAACTCCATTGTTGAATTGCTTGTGAATCCTAATTTTCAGAGAGAGATGGAATTGGAGAGAATAGAGGCAGTTAAGTTGTACGTCTGTGTTTATTCACTAACTGTATTTCTTTGTTGAATCAAGTTTTTCAGTATCTCTTAGGAATCTAAAGCACTTTGATTGTGAAGAAAAGCAGGACTTAATAGTAAGTATTACCAGTAAGATATGCATACAAGTATATACAAATGTGGAGGGGGGAGATGTTCATATAATATACAACTTTCACTACCAGAGGAGTGTATTATAGCTAACACTTGTCAACTGGTTAATGTCCTAGACCAAAAATGTCAGTAGGTTACTTTTTTTTTTTTTAAAAAAAAAAAAGGCAAATGACTCTTGTGTTGTAGGACCGAGCCAAAGAAGCTTACTGTCGAGAAATTGAGTGGTGTATTCAATTGATTTCTGACTATCGGATTAGAGTAGGTAAGTACATGAGTTGGACAACCTCATCCATTCTGATATAGATCAGAAAAAAGATGGTAACATTAAGGCTATCGACTTTGTTTCAAAGACTTAGTTAAACTGATAAATAACCCTGTTTTGGGCTTTTTAGGTTGTCATTCTTTTACGGGATCCTTCTTGGAATATTTTGCTGATGATATCAGTAAGTGAATTCGTGGTGAGGTTATCTTTTGTGTTCTCCTTTTAGTAGATAAACTGAGCTCTAATGTTGATGAATGTGTCGAGTTACATATTGGACCCAGTGAGTGGATACTGTTCAAGTTACTACATGGCATAATTATAGCATAGGATTTTCATTCCACAACAAAAACCATATGGAGGAAGCGATGTAAATATTGATTGTTAAAGATGAAATGCTGGATTAAATCAAGTAATTGGTCACTTCAGGTTGTAGTGAGCTCATTTCAGAGCTCCTATCATAATTTCAACTCTCAATTGCTTTTTTTAAGGCAAAACGATTTTTTCCTTCCTCCTCCGTAGTGGAAGGAGGAAAAATGACCTCTCCCCCTATCAAGAAAGCCCCTTATCTTACATGTATGTAAAAATGTGTGATTGTGGCTTTCCTTTCAGGCTATCCAGTTAGAAAGGAAGGTATTCAAGGTTTAGTCCAAATGACCTTTCCAAATGTAGCAGAGGAAGAGCTTGAAGAATCTTCATCAGAAACTTCACCTAGCAAGCCCTCCAAGAAACTGCTTCCTGACAGAACAAGGGCTGCTAGGGATAAAGCTAATGAAAAGATAGTGGAGTTTATAGTGAAGACTAAGGGGGCGGAAGAGCATCTTTTGGCTATTTTGAAAAGCAGAAAACAATCCCGGTGGCTGAAAGAATTCCTGAATTCAAGTCAGTATGTGACCTGCGTTGAAACTTATTTAGAAGATGAAGAACAACTGGACCTTGTGGTAAACTACTTGAAGGAAGTATATCATGAAATAGACACTGGAAATCTGCATCGAATAAATGGAGATGGAATAAAGTTTATTTCAGATGTCCTTTTGCCTGAAGTAAGTAAATAACACTAGTGTGTTGTGATTCTCATTTACTGACTTGTTATGTTCTCCAGGAATTGAGTGATGTTTGAGCAGGACAAGTGTATTGAGGCCTACCCACCAGTTTGAGGCATGGACCCTTAAGCTCAAGGGTCTGACACTGTGCTTAATCTCTATATATGTCTTGAGCAGAGAGCATTAAAATATCAGTGCTGAAGGCTTTTAAACCATGTGTATATGTTGGTAATCAGAGAACAAATATGTTGGAGGTGAGGGAAGCCCCAATATTAGTAACTACCAGCTTCCTGCTGGTACTGCATATCTTGATTTTAATAAAATAGCAGTTATATGTGAGAACACATGCACCAGTATAATTCTAAATATTGATTTTAAGCTTCTCCTTTCTGCGCTAATGGCTTAAGGTAGTGTGGTGTTTTAAAGAGAGTGTGATTGCTTTTCAGTATATCTTGATTGTTGCTTCTAAAACTTACAAGTTTTTCTGTTGCTTCTATAGTTTTTTCCTTTGGCAAGTGATCTCGGTGGGGTTTTGGGGTTCTTGTTTGTTTTTTAGTTATACTTTTGCAGACTTACTGTCTTTGTTAGGACCTATTAGAACACTAGTATCTTCCGTAGGAACAAAATTATTATTAAGAGTATCTCAATCTAGTTGTTAAAATGTTCTCCTAAGTATGTTAAAGGGCAAGTTTATGCTTTGTGTTGGAGAGCTTTAAATGCATGATGAGCAGTTTCATCCAGGTTTTTTTAGTGGTTGAAGATCTTACTCCAAAAATGTACTCACCTGCTGAGACCATTTCAAATCATTGTGGTTATAGTTTAGTCTTTGTTCACTAGTATCAATGAACTAAAAGTCCTTTTGTAGGCCATCATTTATGCGATATCTGCTGTGGATGACATAGATTACAAGAAGGCAGAAGAGAAATACATAAAAGGACCATCTGTGAGCAAAAGGTACCTTATTTTTAGTGTTTTCTCTGAATTGTTACTTCCCAGTTTGCTGTTCATAAGGCAAAATATGAGTATGAGAGAAGGAGGTGCACTTGGATGTCAGTATCCTCCCTTCCTCTGTGAGACCTACTTTCTCTTTCTAAATAACGAAATGATTAAACATGAGGAAGATTCTTGCTGAGTTATACCAACACATTACACCCTTTTAACGTAGTAGGGTTATTTTTATTGCAGAACTCTAATGTGTCTCTTTTTCAGGGAGAGAGAAATATTTGATGAAGAAATTCTAGAAAGGAAAAAGTGGAAGACTGAACTAGCATCTGAAGACAGCAAATAAATAGTGGTAGGAACTTTCTCTAGTCTATAGTGGCACTGAATGTATATAATGGAGAAGTGGTTACCTGTACAAAATGTGTAATTTCTACTTTTTTAAAGTCAGTATGTAAATAGTCTTCAAAAGATGTAACAAATCATTATAATGCTGTATTACCTGAAGATACAATTGTATCTTCAGTCCTCGCTCTAAATTCTGCGTAATGGAGCTGCATATTACTCTCCTCCGTCTTGCCATACTGAACTCCCTGTAAAAGACAATGTATAAATATGTAATAATGCTATTACAAGTGTATTGCAAGCCAGTTATCTTCATCCACTCCATGTGCTTGAAATGGAATTCACAGGAGAACAGCAAAGGTTTTTGCAAAGCTGCTTGATGGAACTCTTGTATTAAGTTTTGTATTAATTATTGTGGCCAAATATCTCTGACAAACGAAGGTCAAGTGTCCTCAGAACAACATGTACTGGTAAATTATGTAGCCACATATTGCTTTAACTGTACTGCTACTGAATATACCATCTAAAAATCTTTCCAAAGGGTTGACTATTATTCCATCTGTGTTCAAAAATGAGAAATAAAACTGATACCTGGTGATGAAACTGAAATCGCAAAGGCTTTGGGGGTGTTTTTGTTTTGTGTTTTGTTTTGTTTTTTTTTTGGTAGGACTACTGTGAAGTTCAGTAGAGAAAGAATCCAATGCATACTTCAAACAAAAAGCTTCGTCTTTCCACTTAAAAATTAAACCATTTTGAATGCTGCTTTAAAAACATCATGTTTAATTCCATGATTTTAGGAGCTCTTTTGATTTATTCTGTCTTTTATTTTCATCTGATTTGATCATGCATTGTTCCCTGCCCCAAGCTTTTGCTAAAAGTATAGCATATTGCAGATAATTACTTCTGGCAGATCTGCAGCACAACTGGTAACTATTTAATGGAAACGAGCCAATGATTAGTATTTGCCTAGACTACAGTCAAGATCTGATCTGTTTGCTTGCCCAACAGGAATGTGATTTGATTTACAAGTAGTAATATTGAAGATTTAGTGAGAAATTAAGTGTGAAACTTGCAGAATCAATAAACCGTTTTATATTCATTATCTTGGATATAATACTAATTAAATATTGTTTACATTCTTAATTACACTGTAGTGTATATTGAGTCTCAATACTCACTTGGACTTCTTATTCACACAAAACAGTGTCATTCATGTGTACTTAAATGATAAGAATATATTCTTATTTCTTTTAGTTTTCACTGATATTTGTGGTAGGGGGTAGTACATTTCCTGCCACAGTATAACATTTTTGATCACGAGTTTGATTTTAACTGTGGAGACATGAATGACACTTCAAGATGGACATTTCTTGGGCCACGTGTTGCCATTTCAAAGTGTATAAAGCCTTCTGCCCATAAAAATGAACCCTACTCTAGGTATTATTCCTGCTAGTAATGGTGATTAAAGACATATCTTAAGGGTCCTTCTCCTTTAAAACATGATTATCTGTACACTTTTCACAGTTACCATAATACTTATGGTACTATTAAAAAAAATCTGATATCAGTATTAAGATATTCTCTTTCCAAACTATTGCACAGAAATGTAACCTCCAACTCCTGCTGCCGCCTTTATCTAAATATTTGCTTTTCATACCTTTCTCCTAATACTATCTTAGTTTTTATTTTAAAAATAAAAACTTGTCTGTTGAATCAAATTGTACTATTTCACCAAGGAGCGACTAAGAGCACACTTTAACCTATTTACATTTTTAAAAGCCCTTTTGGTTTTCGAATCAGGGTATTATCAAGCATAAGTACTGTAAGTAATTATCGGTATGTCAAGACCAAATTCAGCATTGTGATGTACAATTTCTAGTGCTATGGTGCTGTATGTAACTGATTTTCTAAATCAATTAAAACTGGCACATGAACGATTTTGTGAACTCTCCAAGGTTTAGTATTCATTATTTCAAATACTGATTTTGATCTGTGACCTTAATTGCACAACATGTGTCTTGCACCTGAGTTTTGAATCGCCTGAAGGTTGGGTTTAGTTTGTATGTCAGATACAACTGTAGCATCATGTATTTAAACAGTATCGAAGATCCATGTTATTAAAGAAAGGGTGATTTGATTTGCAGGTAGTAAAAGTAGAGACTTAGTGAGAAATTAAGGAGAAAGCAGACTTACTGTTTCCTGTGGTTGTGCTTTATTTAAAACAGGTATTCAAATGCATCATCCCTGTTGAGAACAAGCTACTGATTAAGGTTGTGTCTTTTGAGTAGATGTAGACTCCTTTAACTGAACTGCATACCTGTAACAGTGTTATATCAGCAGCTGTGTGTGCTGCCGCCTGCTTGTGTCTGTTTCTAGGCTATTAAAACAACCTGGAGCAAGATTCGAGGAGTGTATGATGCATTTATCTAAACCTGAAGCTCTTGAGCCTTAGCAGCTGGGAGCTAACAGAAGCATGACTTTTTGCTGCCTCTTTCGAGCACGGTAGTCTAAAACAGTGCATTGTATTGCTCTTTCCTAGGGCTGTTGCTAGCCCTTTTTAGAGGAAATAATGTTCTCTACAGGAGCATTTGGGAGCCATTTTAACTATTCTATAAAGCTTTTTTTCGTTTTAGTTGAATCGGGTAAGAACTTGTGGAAGCATGCGCCGTGCGCTTGGGGCTGCACCGGTCTGAAAGCAAGAAGTGCCGGTTTCCGGGTCGAAGACCAAGGGCCCTGAATAAAGCTTAAAAAAAAAAACCGCTCACAGCATCTCCGAGAGCTTCGATTCCGCCTCCACTGCTGCAACCGTGGGAGAACGAGCGCGCGGAGGGGGGTGGGGGAAGAAAAGACGCCTCTGCCGAAACCCGGGATCGAACCAGGGACCTTTAGATCTTCAGTCTAACGCTCTCCCAACTGAGCTATTTCGGCCGCTCGGGCGGGGGCTTCTGCCCCTTTCAGC